AAGGCTGGGAAGCTGGGGGGAACTGGCTGGTGCCTTTCTCTGCGTGATTTATGAGTGGCTTTCGGAGCATTCATGCAATCTAGATGGGTGTGGGGCTCCACATGCTGCTGAGCTGAGTGATAGCAGTGCCTGCAGGGGTTTGCTGCTTATCACTAGCAAAGGATTGTGAGAGACAGCCCAAGCTGGAGAGTTAAGGGGGCAGGGTTCTTACACTTTGCTCTGGAACATCTGGTGCTGTCCACTGCCAGAGACAGGATACTGGATTAGATGGACCATGGGTCTGATACATTAGGCGGTTCCCATGTTTCTACATTTGGCAGAAGAGTAGTGTTGTCTGTGTAGAATCCAGAGCTTCTTGTGCTGAAAGCATTTACTCAAAGGCTGTGGTAACTGGTCTTGGTGGGAGCTCTGACAACTGCTGACACACACAGCTAAAGGAATATCTCAAAACCAGTACAGGAGGGCTTTGTGACAGCCTCATAGAGGAAGAATAGTGGCTGGGCCAGATCACCAAGCATGTACTGATATCTGGAATTAACATCCTTGTATCCACTTTGAACACATGGAAGCTGGAGGGGAAAATCCAGAGGCCTGGATACAGAGCTGTCTCAAGTCAGGAATTTCAACAGAATAATACTGGGGAGCTATTTGCTCTCTCTTGGTGCCTCTTTCTCTAGTCTCTCATGTGAAGGCCAGTGCTCAGTACCACTGTCTTCAAATATTGAGATTCTAAGTGGAGCTCTTGGATGGCGGATGATGGTAAAGGTGCTTCAAGGATGAAGCTGTTCCACTGCGCTAGCTACTGGGGAGTTGGGTTTTTGCCACTGTGAGCAACTCTGACACACAGTCCAGGCATTCGTTAGTATTGGCTAACTCAAGCAAAAGCTTCCAGAGTTAACCATTTAAAGCACTCTGGGCTAGCCTCATGTTGGATTTACAGGAGACCCCCCTGGATGATTCAGCAATCATACGCCAGGGAAATGCCAGTATTGGACCCCTTAAACAATACTGACAGGAAAGTACTGCGATAACACTGGGGAACCAATAGCAAAGACATCAATATTCAAAGGGGAAAAAAATGCGACAGGAAAAAAATAAATAAAATAAAATAAAATAAAACTTAGCACCAAAAGAGTATCAAGCACCAGAAACCAGTGATGGCACACTGAGGTAGGCACTGGATTGCTGCAAAAATAAAGCAGCACAATTTTATGCTGAAGCATTTGAGAAAAAGAGCTCTGAAATGTAACACTATCTCCAACTTGACTGGAGTCAGGCTTGTAAGCAAGAAAAGGATGCCTGAGAAGGTGTGACTGGGATCTGGTGAACAGCTGGAATCCAAAGAAGCACGGTCTCTTCCATGGAGCTTTTTTGCTAACCATAGTCAAGAATATTGACTGGAATATTCAGAGGGCAGGTTTTATACTCGGGAAGGGAGTGGCTCGTGATGATCAATAGGTGTGTCTGGAGGGATGGTTCATAACCCACACCTTGCTTCCACTGCCCTCAAAGGTAATAAGTCCTTAAGAGTCAGGTGCATTTCATCAGTCTTCTGCTAAGCAGATAAGAACAAGAAATCAGAATCCTGCACAGATGGAATCTTAATTAAAAACTGAAGTATCCAGGGCAATCCAAAAAAGGTAGCAGGATCATAGCTAACAGGAGTGAGACAGGAATGAACCCATAGATAATATTGTCTTGTCAATTCAGCTGGTGAGCCTGAAGATTTTTCTAGTTAAAACAGCTAGCAAGAAGGCAGGAGTAAAGAACCAAATAGAACCTTTGGGATCTAAGAAGAGATAAAATACAATACAGTAACTCCTCACTTAAAGTTGTCCCGGTTAACACAGTTTTGTTGTTATGTTGCTGATCAACTAGAGAAAATGATCATTTAAAGTTGTGCAATGCTCCCTTATAACGTTGTTTGCTTGCAGAAAGAGCAGCCCGTTGCAACTAGCTGGTGGGGGCTTGGAACCAGGGTGGACCAGCAGCCCCCCGCTCCCCTAAGTTCCCTGTGCGGCAGCCGCCCCTCAGGCTACCAATTGCCAGCAGTTCAGTTTTTCCTCCCCCCACTGCCATGTGCTGCTCCTACCCTCTGCCTTGGAGCTGCTCCCAGGAGCCTTCTCCTTGCTGTGCAGGGGAGGGAGGAAGAAGAGGGCTACTGTCAGGGTGTCTCCTTCCCCCCCACTCCTGCCCCCTGCTTACCTCTTCTCCATATTGAGCAGGGTGGGGACAAGACAGGGCTCAGGATGGAGAGAGCTTGCTGGCCACAGCTGCTGTTTCAACTTGCTGATCTACTTAGAAAGGCGATGTACTTAGAGTGGGGTCAGCGTACTTAAAGGGGCAATGCACATCTCTCTCTCTCTTACACAGGGTGTGTGTCTCTGTCTGCCATGCTATCTCCCCTCCCATCTATTCATGCTGCCTTGTAGAGTATGAGGCTACATTAACAATGTGTTAACCCTTGAGGGCTCAGCCAAATGCTAGTCCATCATTTAGCAGTAAGGCATTCCCTGGGAAATATCCACCCTCTAACTTCACCACCTCAACCAAGCTTCACAATCATCATTGCTGTGTACACTATTAAATTGTTTGTTTAAAACTTATACTGTGTGTGCACATATATATATATAAATTATCAGTTAGGGTATCTGGAATCAGCATAATTGTTTGGCTATATCTAGCAAATACCAGCCGATCTATTTGCCATTTGTGCAAAACAAAACAAAACCTAATCATTCATGCGTTAAGGTATCTACGGCTGCCTAGATAGCATTCACATACAGTAACTCCTCACTTAACATTGTAGCTATGTTCCTGAAAAATGCGACTTCAAGCGAAACAATGTTAAGCAAATCCAATTTCCCCATAAGAATTAATGTAAATTTCTCTAGAACCTAACCCCCCCCTTATTTACATTAATTCTTATGGGGAAATTGTATATATATATAGCCAAACAATTATGCTGATTCCAGACACCCTAACTGATAATTTAGCTCAGCTATTCATGACACCTCCTCCCTTCCTCTCATCTCTCTCCTAGAAACCTACTTGTTGCATATTGGACTACAAGAAGTGAATTTATCCCCCCAGAAAAGAAAACTAAAAACCAGACTTTTATGGAATAATAATGATATCCATATGTATAAATGAGTAACCTTACTGCGCTTATTATTGTGACATATGTCCTCCCAGTCCCCTCCACCTACTGTTTACTACCTCTCATTGTGTCATGTGTAAATGAGACCGTAAATTCTATAGGGCAAAAACAATATTCTTTGTTCTGTAAAGAGCCTAGCAAATTTTTGGCACTGTGCAAATAGCAAGTAATAATTTCAAACTCCTTCTAATCAGATAGATCCAGCAGTTGATTTTAAGTAAAAAGAGCATAAACACTTTTTTAAAAAACCAAACAGATGTAATATAAAGTTGCCTTTTTTGTTCTGCCCATCTGAAGAGACTTGTTAAAGCAAAAACACACACAACTGGCAAATTAAAAAAAAAAGGCAAAAAGCAATAAAGCAAACAAACATAAGTGAAAATGTAAACAAAGTGCTACTGCTAGCTATGGAAAATAAGCCTAAAGAAACAGTAGCACATAGACGCATGTAAAGAACTACTAGCAACAAATGGATACAATTAAAGTGGCTGAATTTTTAAACATTTCAGAATTTAAAAGTGATGTAAAATATGTAAACTACTGCAACTCTGTTTTACAGTAATGAGATTTGCAAAACTTATAACTGTATCATGTCTAACTTCATTTATCATTTAAAAACAATTTTACTGAAGTTCTGTTCATTCAATTTAGGTTCTTATTACTCTGACGAGAAAAAGAAATATTGGCCAAAGTCAGAAAATACTCTTTTTACACAAAGATGAGAAGGAGGATTCATTAGAAAAAGTTATAAAAGAAATCATATATTTAAAAACCCCCTTTCCTTTATTTATAATATCCTAGATTGTTACAATTGGAAGAATTTAAAAAATATAAAATACCTGTTCCGCCATTTATGCTGGTTGTGTATCTTCAGCAATACACTCAACATAAAATTAAAACTAAAGCAGGCAGTTTAACTTCTGGTTCTCATGCCCTAAAGCCCTGCTCCTGTGATGAACTGTGAGCTGGTGGACCCATGTGTTCAGTAGAGTCCCATTGATGGCCTAAAATTGTTTGTGACCTGATTATCTGAAAGATTGCCTCTCTCTCCACAAGACATAGTGGGAGAGTTGAGATCAGCAGGCAGGCTTCAGCTAGAACCTCACTGAAATGTGTTACTTTCTCATTAGGTCCACCAGAGCCTGGATTTGTTAATCTTCCAGATGTGCTGCAAAACAAATCCTTTATTCTTTCTTTTTTGCAAGCTATTTTGGAGGAAGGAGGCTGAAGATTGCGGTGGTTGCAAGGATAACAGAATCTTGATTTTTTATGAACACCAGTCTTACCATCAATCACATAAACCATTTTTCACAATGAAAGAAAAATAACATAAGGTGATGGCAATGAAGAACAACTGGATATCCCTTCACATTTTGATGCATTGAACGTCACATTGCATCACTTTGAAAGACAAGACAGCAATGAAGTGCACCCTACCGCAATACATGCCCCATTCCTTTAGTAATTTTGAAGTCAATATCACGAACTTTTTCTTTTTAGGAACTCCTCAATCCTGCATTATTTGTTCATAAAATAGAGGTTCTACTGTCTGGCGGGTATAGATGTGACAGCAGGCGGTGGTTGTGGTATTACATTCGTTTGTGTAGCGTAGCTGAAGAAAGAGAGGCCCGGCGTGCAGGATGGGAACTGTATTTTGTTATTTCGTATATTGATGAAACAAATGAATCAATGGACAAACGCGGGCGCCGCAAGCGCGTAAGACCCGAACGCTTGTCCCGCTGTCAATGGCTAGAAATGCGCCTGTCGCTGCCGGGTTTGGCGAGCCGGGGCTGGCCCGGCATCCCCGCCCCATCCTAGTGCCGAGGACGCCTGTCCCCTCCGCCCGCAGCGGTCCCCGCGCCGCCGCCCGGCCGGACACCAGGGGGCAGGCGGCGAAGGGAAGCGGCCCATCGATGGGGGCGGCTGCTCTGCGTTCGGCTCCTCGGCCCTGCCTCTCGGCTCTGGATTAGCTAGCGAAACTGGTTACGTGGGACAGTCCCCAGCCCGGCCCCCCTGCTCCCACCGCTGGGGTGAAGCGGGGTCTCGGAGGCGCCGCGCACAGTGCCGCAGCCGCGCTGCAAGGCTCCGCGGGCGGCTTCCAGCTGGGCACCGAGCGGGGGGCAGACGCCGCTGCGAGCGAAGCCCGGGCGCCCCGCAGCCAGCCGCCCGCCCGCCCCCACCGCCGGGGGGAGCAGCAAGAGCAGGGGCAGCAGCAGCGGGCGGCCCCGGGCGGGAGGAGGAGGCGGCGCCGCCGCCGCCGCAGGCAGCACGGGGAAGCGGCCGGGCTGCCCGGGAGGGCAGGGCTGGGTCCGGCCCCTGCCCGGCGGGGCCATGGCGCTGCGGGCCCGGGCGCTCTATGACTTCAGGTCGGAGAACCCGGGGGAGATCTCGCTGCGGGAGCACGAGGTGCTGAGTCTCTGCAGCGAGCAGGACATCGAGGGCTGGCTCGAGGGGGTCAACAGCCACGGCGACCGCGGCCTCTTCCCGGCCTCTTACGTGCAGGTGATCCGGGCTCCGGCTGCGGAGCCGCCCGCCCCTGCCGGCGGGGCCCGCTACGCCAACCTGCCCCCCGGCGGCTTCGAGCCCCTGGTACCCCCGGCTGCCTTCAACCCCCCTGTCCAGCAGCTCCCCCCTCCGGCGGCGGCCGAGCCCTTCCCGCTGCCGCCCGCGCCCTACAGCGGCTCCTACCAGCCCAGCCAGGGCAGCGACGACGACTGGGACGATGACTGGGACGACACCTCCACGGTGGCGGACGAGCCGGGTGTGCTGGGCAGCTCCTACCCGGACTACGATGCGGCGGGGGGCGGCGGCCCCACCTCGGCCCGGTACCGCCTCTCCACCCGCTCGGACCTCTCGCTGGGCTCCCGCAACAGCCAGCAGCCCGGTCACCTCCACCACCACCCCGGCGGCGGGGCCAAGAGCTCCGCCACGGTGAGCCGCAACCTCAACCGCTTCTCCACTTTCGTGAAGTCGGGCGGGGAGGCGTTCGTGCTGGGCGAGGCCTCTGGCTTTGTGAAGGATGGGGACAAGCTGTGCGTGGTGCTGGGCCCCTGGGGGCCCGAGTGGCAGGAGAACCCCTACCCCTTCCAGTGCTCCATTGAGGACCCCACCAAGCAGACCAAGTTCAAGGGCATGAAGAGCTACATTGCCTACAAGCTGGTACCCAGCAACACCGGGCAGCAGGTGCACCGCCGCTACAAGCACTTTGACTGGCTCTATGGGCGCTTGGCAGAGAAGTTCCCTGTCATCTCTGTGCCCCACTTGCCCGAGAAGCAGGCCACGGGCCGCTTCGAGGAGGATTTTATCTCCAAGCGTCGCAAGGGCCTGGCTTGGTGGATGGACCACATGTGCAGCCACCCGGTGCTGGCTCAGTGCGATGCCTTCCGACACTTCCTCACCTGCCCCAGCACCGATGAGAAGGCCTGGAAGCAGGGCAAGCGCAAAGCCGAGAAGGACGAGATGGTGGGCGCCAACTTTTTCCTGACCATCAGCGTCCCCACCGGCCCTGCCGCTGCCCTGGATCTACAGGAGGTGGAGAGCCGGGTGGATGGCTTCAAGAGCTTCACCAAGAAGATGGATGAGAGCACCATGCAGCTCACCCACACCGCCAATGAGTTTGCCCGTAAGCAGGTCACTGGTTTTAAGAAGGAGTACCAGAAGGTGGGGCACTCCTTCAAGGGACTCAGCCAGGCCTTCGAGCTGGACCAGCAGGCCTTTTCTGCCAACCTCAACCAAGCCCTTGCCTTCACGGGGGAAGCTTACGACGCCATTGGGGAATTCTTTGCAGAGCAGCCCCGACAGGACCTTGACCCTGTGATGGATTTGTTAGCACTATATCAGGGGCATCTGGCCAACTTCCCAGACATCATCCATGTCCAGAAAGGTAACATCCCTGAGTCTATCTTTAACATGCCATTCAATCTCTATCTCTCTGTGGTGATGTAGGAACCAGGAACTCCTGAGTGCTAATCCTAGCTCAGTCCGTGTCAGTGGTTTTCAGTTAAAGCCTGTTGCATTTACTCAGGCAGAACTGCCACTGAGCTTAAATGCAATAATACAAAAGTTTCATTCCATACCACTTTAGTGGGAATTCTAACCGGTTAAAAGCCACAGGTCTGGGCCCTAAGCCAGTCGTCTTCATCTATAAAATGGGAATTAATACCTGCCTATGGTACAGATATGTTGAAGATCATTGAGTTTGTTTATAAAACATCCTGCAAATTAAGTGCTGTAAAAGCATCTATTAGTATAATTAATATCTTAAAACAGTTTAACTGATTTTTAAAGATTTAATCTGAAGTTACCTGAGAACATAATACAGTTATAATTCCTTCATCCCAACCTGTCAAGGCACTTTGCAAACAGTATTTACAAGAACCCATTTAGAAATATTCTCATTTTCAAATGGGCAAACTGAGCCACAGAGCAAGAATGACTTGCTTGAGGTGTCACAGCATAACCTTGTATTATGTGCACTTTACAATGCAAGGTTTTGAATTAGATATTGAAAGCAGCTGGTGTCTGGTCTGTTATGGCTGGACACTTAGGCCTGGTCTACACTTAAAACTCTAGGTCAATTTAGTTACATCACTCAGAGGTGTGAAAAATTCATACACCTCCCCCATTTCCTCCACCCTCCCACGGCTGTATAGACAGCACTGTCAATCTAGCTACCGCCTCTTGAGGGGGTGGATTTACTACTCCATCGACTGATGGAAAAACCCCTTTGATGGCTGTAGTAGATGTCTAAATTACGATGTTGCTGTAGCTGTGGGGTTGTAGCACTTGTAGTGTAGACATAGCCTAAGGATCTACTTCGGTGAGTGTAATAGTTTGCTGCAGTGTTCTTATTTTAAATTTCATATTCTTCCTCTTGCTGTCTCAGCGGGTTCTTCTGTTCACTGTTGTCCTCGTAGCTACCACCTTCACCCTGAGATGTAAAAGTGTTTCAGAGTTTCTGAATGTTGTTTGTAAGACACTGGGATTCATTGGTGGGAAAGAAACTACCCTTCAATAGAAGGCGTGGCCAAACCAGGCTCTGTTGCAGTTGAATTGTGGCTTGTGGAGCCCCCCCACCCTTCACCATTCTCCGCCTACCAGATGTGGGGAGCTTCTGTCCTGTGGTGCGGGTAGGGGCTTCATCAGGAGCAGGGAGCACCTCATGAGGCAGAAGCCTCAACCCTGGCAGGCACGTGCTATGGCTCTCAAACTTCTGAAAATTATCGTATGCGGCTCGGAGGGCCAGTAAGTTTGGTCACCTCTGTCATATACTGTAAAAGAACTGGTTTCAGAGTAGCAGCCGTGTTAGTCTGTATCCGCAAAAAGAAGAACAGGAGTACTTGTAGAACTGTGTAACTAGTAACATTTTTCACATACATAAAACTTTGTTATGTTAAATCTTATTTAGATAACCTTAACTTTACAGTACAGACGCTATCCATACTAGACTCCTGACCCTGATAGGTCAGTTCCTAATGTAATCTAATCACTAATGCATTCTGTACAGTAAGATGCAGGGCATGAATTGCCGCCCCCAATGGTAGAAAAATTCATTTTATTTTTTCCTAAATGATGTGTCTTCAAGTTTTTGCTTTCTAGAACACCACCTCAGAACAAAGGCAAAACAGTTTGATTTGAAAGAGATAGGTATTTATAAAGTCCGTGTTGGAATCACAGATTTCTGGTAAAATCTGAGGAGCCAGAGTTCACAGGTATCACTGTAATACACTTCCAGCTTTGATGCAAGGGCAATTTTTGTTATGTGTCTTTTATGACAAGGAAAGACTCATCTAAATCAGATTTGTTTCACTGTAAAATTTTGGAGAATGACATTATTTCAAGAAAGAGAGGGGGAAATTTATGTTTTTTTTGTTTTGGAAAATTCCTCTCGTTGGCATTACCCTGTGATTAACTTACACCAGTGGTTCTCAAACTGTGGGTCGGGACCCCTTTGAATAGGGTCACCAGGGCTGACTTAGACTTGATGGGGCCCAGGACTGAAGCCAAAGCCCAAGGGCTTCAGCCCTGGGTGGCGGGGCTCAGGTTATAGGCCTCCTGCCTGGGGCAGAAGCCCTTGAGCTTCAGGTTCCCCCCGTCCCCCCACCCACCACCTAGGGCAGTGGGGTTCAGGCGGGCTCAGGCTTTGGTCCTCCTCTCCTGGGGTCATGAAGTACTTTTTGTTCTCAGAAGTGGGTCCTGGTGCAATGAAATTTGAGAACCCCCGACTTACACCAAATGTTTTAAAGTCAAAAAGGAGCTTGATCCTGGTAAAGTGCATTTGTTTTGGGAATGGAGAATTTTAAAGTGAGGAATTCAATAACTAATTTAAAGGAATACCATCAGTATGATTTAAAAAACAAAAACAAAAAAACTAAATATGTCATCAGTTTTCCAATAGAACACTGTTTAAGTAGTATGTACTGCAGCTTTACTTTTTTTTTAAAATAGAGGTTTTTCTGCTGTGCTAGTGTTTTTTGGGAGGCTCATATGTGCAAGGCCCAAAAGCAACACATCATCAGTGGTCTCCAGTCTTTTTAAACCCAAGATCACTTTTTGAATTTAAGAGCAACCCAGGCTCTACCCTGCCATTCCCTAAGCGCAGCCCTGCTCACTTCATCCTACCCCCCCATCCCCGTCGCTATCTCTCCCCCACCCTCACTCTTTTTCACCGGGCTGGGGCAGGGGTTTGGGAGGGGGTGCGGGCTCTGGGCTGGGGCAGAGGGGATCACAGTGTGGGAGGGGGCTCCGGGCTGAGCCTGGGGCAGGGGGTTGGGGTGCAGGAGAGGTTTAGGGGTGCAAGCTCTGGGAGGGAGTTTGGGTGCAGGTGGGAGCTCCGGGGAGCATGCTGGACGCTTCCGGGAGTGGTGTGGGGCTGGGGCAGGCAGCGAGCCTGCCTTTGCGGCAACAGGCAGCCCCTCGCAGTCGACTGGGAGAATCTCCAGGATCGACCAGTTGATTTTGATTGACCGGTTGGTGACCACTGCCATACATGCTTGTCCCAACTCATCTTTCTCTATATACATCATCTTTACCTTTTCAGTTTCATTTTAATCTTTGCAGCTGTTAGGAGTAAATTCACTCTCTTGTTGAACTTGGGGAAGTTCATGCAAATGAGCTTCTACCAGAATATTGCATGGGAGCGATACAGGTGACCATTAACAAGGCCCTCATTCTGCAGTTAGAGCCCCGGTGATGTCTGCACAGATCCAGTTGTAGGGTTAGGGACTATAACTGATTACATACAGTGTGTGGCAAATATACTAAGTAAATTAACTGGAAAATAAAAAGGGAGATTTTTTTTCTCCATTCTTTTTGCTCTAATAATCTTGGATTGTTTGTAGCGAGATGTAACTTTTTAATTACAAAGTGTAATTTTAGATGAAAGTGATTTTGTTTTTAAGGCTGACAGTGGCCCTTTAACGTCATAATCAGTAGAATAAAGAAAGCTGCCAGTATTAAAGAAGGTCCTGTGGCCGGTTTTGTTCAACATCTTTATTAATGATCCAGATGATGAGATTAACTGCACCCTCAGCAAGCTCGCAGATTACACTAAACTGGGGGGAGAAGTAGATATTCTGGAGGGTAGGGATAGGGTCCAGAGTGACTTAGACAAATTGGAGGATTGGTCCAAAAGAAATGTGATGAGGTTCAACAAGGACAAGTGCAGAGTCCTGCACTTAGGACAGAAGAATCCTATGCACCGCTACAGGCTGGGGACCGACTGGCTAAGCGGCAGTTCTGCAGAAAAGGACCTGGGGATTACAGTGGATGAGAAGCTGGATATGAGTCAGCAGTGTGCCCTTGTTGCCAAGAAGGCTAACGGCATATTGGGCTGCATTAGTAGGTGCATTGCCAGCAGATTGAGGGAAGTGATTATTCCCCTCCATTTGGCACTGGTGCGGTCACATCTGGAGTACTGCGTCCAGTTTTAGGCCCCCCACTACAGAAAGGATGTGGACAAATTGGAGAGAATCCAGCGGAGGGCAATGAAAATCATCAGGGGGTTGGGGCATATGACTTATGAGGAGAGGCTGAGGGAACTGGGCTTGTTTAGTCTTTAAAAGAGAAGAGTGAGGGGGGCTGTATTGTCGGCCTTCAACTACCTGAACGGATTTCCAAAGAGGATGGAGCTCAGCTGTTCTCAGTGGTGGCAGATGACAGAACAAGGAGTAATGGTCTCAATTTGTAGTGGGGGAGGTCTAGGTTGGATATTAGGAAACACTATTTCATTAGGAGGGTGGTGAAGCACTGGAATGGGTTACCTAGGGAGGTGGTGGAGTCTCCATCCTTAGGGGTTTCTAAGACCCGGCGTGACAGAGCCCTGGCTGGGATGATTTAGTTGGTGTTGGTCCTGCTTTGAGCAGGGGGTTGGACTAGATGACCTCCTGAGGTCTCTTCCAACGCTAATATTCTATGATAAGGAGCTATGACACCCTGCCTCCTTCAACAAAATCATAGGTGTTTATAGCAGAGCTGTTGGATTGGCTGAAAAACATAGTCTTTCTGTGTTTAGTCTTCTGCTTTAAACAACATGCTACACATTTTGCAATAAACCCCAAAAAGACTACCCAGTTGACATCCTGGAAGAGTGGGCAGGTTTCATAAAGACGGGCTCCATATTTACTACTTCTATAATCAAGTCTCCACATAATCCAAGATGCATCACTAGAAAACTCATTACCTAGTCCCCAAAAACAATCCTGACAGAGCAAAAAATGGGGTCTGCTGTACCTGATGCACACCTGATCAGGTGGAGGCTCTAGTCTCCTTCCTTTTGCTATTTGCTCCATACACAGCTGCACATTGAAGTTTGGGGGCCTGGGCTTAGTGCAAGAACTCCTCCCACTGCTCCCTCTTTACATGATAGGGTGAAGATGTGGGGGA